ATAATTAACTGGTACGACCATTTATTTGAAAAAAATTGCTTCATCAAAAGTAAACTTTTCAAGGGGTATTTTTAATTTGAACTTATAAATCTGTAGCCTTTGAACGGAAGTAATTTTTTCAAGTTGACGAATACATTTTTTGATTTGTTTGCTTCCGTTTTTCTAAAAAAAGTTTAAAACTGATACACTATAAGCTTTATTTTGTTTATTCTCCACTCTTTTTCATATAGTATCTTTCGTTCATCAAACACCTTTTAGAAAAATATTGGTGTTGTTGTACATTGGTTTATTGTCCTAAGAAAAAAAGAAACAATCGGCTTCTTAATATAAACTTTGCTGGTACAGCTGCTGCTTTTTTTTCGATAAGAACTTCATATAGATGATGAAGAACGTCAAATGGAACAGAGAGCATTTGCTTTAATGAACTTTCAGTCAATTATGGAGGAAAAGGTAACGTTTTTACCACTAAGCCTGTAACAGGCTGAAAGATATGCAAATGTCTGTGATTTTGTTGTTGCTCAATTTAAGTCTCTTAAACGGTTCACCACAGAAGTTAAAAATAAAACTTTTTGTTCAGTTTTAAAAGTGATAAATTATTAAGAAAAACTGTAACAATTGTATTTTGCTACTGCTAATTTGTATTCTGGCGACTGAGGCAATTTTTCTTTACTGAATGGTGTTAGTCTCTAATATAAACTGTATAAAGTACAAGTCAGCCTAGTATCTTCCAGTCATTTTTTGTCGATTTCTTTGGAGAACCAAAGGCAGAAAGAACAGTGGAGGACTTGTGGTGATATTGATATTGGAGAAACACATTTGTTTTTTTTTCTTCTGTTCTTGTTACGATGGGTTCGGAAGTGTTGAGTTTCCAGAAACTGATATCTGTCAAATGCACTAACTCTAAAAATTGTCTGAGAAGGAACACTATCATCGCAAAATACTGATGTTCGAGAAATATGATGTTTTTTTTACTTGTTTCCGTTGATAGTTTGTAAAATAATTTTCTAGTTTGGCAGATTAGATTATTCAGATTCACCGGGAACGTTCAACCATAAATTTTTTTTTGAGCTGTTTAGACGCTCACGGATTCAATAAAGACTATGGCATTGTTTCTTGGAAAACTACTGGTTTCAGGACTGAAAAGTTTTTTTATACTTGTGTAGGTTGCTAGTCGTTAAATCTCTGCCAGGGAGTTAGTTTGAAGCCTAAAGTCGAGAATGCATATGCCAGACAAATTTTACTCATCAAAAACCCAACTGCTAAAGGAAGAAAATGGTTTTTGGAACCAATAATTCAAAAATGTTATAAGCAAATTTAATTTTACTATTTAGTAAGTAGGCATCTGCCTTTATGAGTGATATTGAATACAGATTTGGTCATAGTACATTTTAACTGCCCAACAACTTCATTGATTTTTTTCTGAGGGTATTTTAAACCAGTTTTTTTGTTGCACAATTGAAATATTGGTTTTCTGTATCACAAATCTTGACATTTACTACCTCGTATTTCTCTGCATCCAAATCCTGTCATTGTCCTCTTTTCTGTCATCACAAATTGCTTATAAATTTGTTTGTAATCAAATACGTGTAGACAGTCTGATAAGCAAATTTGGTTGCTATGATTCGGTAATGCAATGATAAATTATTGAGGGGAAAGGAAAACAATGATTGGCTAAATAATCTAAAACGCAGGAATGAGTAATATGGATGAGAATAAGTGAATGTCTATTAATGGTATATATATATATATATATATATA